TACTAAAAAATATGTTATTTTTCTATTGTATTTACTTGTATTCAAACTGTTAATAAATCGAGTGCCAGATGATTTTAATTTAAATATAAAAATACTTTTCTTCATTTTACAGTTTTCTTCTTTCATTTGCATAATCTCCAGAACCTTTTAAAATGATATCAAAAGTTTTCTAAGGTGTTTATATTTTATTTTTCATTTTCTTTACCATATCACTAACTCTAGCTATTATCATCAATGTACGATGCAATCAAATGATTAAAATTAAGAAATAAAAAAAATACTCATATCTTTTGATTTTTTGTAGAATATCTTTAAAGATGTTGTTTTGCTTATATTCATAATTTTGGGTCTTTTCCTTTTCATATACAGTTAATTTTTAATGTTTTATTCTCCATTTTTGTCCTTTCCCACTTATTATTCATCTTGACATAAGTCAGTGGTGCCCTTGAGGCATATTACAGTTTCTTTGGGAGACATGCACAACCCTTGAGCCAAATTTTCGTTCAGTGTGTAATATCGTAAGCCTTGAGAATGGACACAAAGTATGATGTATATTTAAAAAATGTTTAAACATTTTAATTATGCATTTTAAAACTTAACTAATACATTATTAACTAAAATACAATAGTAAGACCTAAATACAATTTAAACTGTATCTCCAAGTATAACATATTTAAGTAAGAAACAACCGTAAAGGCTAAAGTCAATCAACCAGTGAACCATACTATAGTCAATTTCATGTACTCTGTGATGACAATTTAGCACCAATTACAAAATAACAATTGTTAGATAATACTGTAAAAAGATTTCTTTCTAATGGTTATACACATGTACATGTAACATCTACATGGAGGCTATAAAGCTCAAACAAGTCTGTTGAAAATGGGCATGGCAGCTGTCAGGGGTTCAAAAAAATTTATCACTTGTTTCAACTGTATTCATTCAGAGAACTTTGAAAGGAAGGAGTCAAAAAGTTATCTAAGCATCTCATTGTCTAGACATACCTCTACAGTATTGCCATTGTATTACTGAAGATACAAAGAGCCAAATTAGTGAATTTTCATAGTTTGTTGGTCACGTGACAAAATATCTGAAATTTTAACTAGTTTTTTTAAAAGGTTTATTTTGAAATAAAAGATTTAAAACTTGGATAAAATGAAACTTCAAATCATAGCATATTATAATATTAAATTCATTCATATACATTGATATTAAATATGTTTAATTAAATTTTGAATGTAACACAGTGACTTGCACAGAAAAGCGTTTAAAGGGGCTCCTGTAGCAAAAGGGTTGATATCATATCGAGCTGACACACTCTTGAAAATTGACCAAGTCTACAAGGAATGTAATATTATTGAACATGCAAAACGACTAAAATTACCTTGAAAAACAAAGTACTAAACAATATGTAACTTACAATTCATCAAAATTAACTTAGATGACAAAGGACACATAAATATCTAACTTACCAAAGTTCAAGCACTGATGATGATGTGAAATACTTAAACTTCCTATGTGTAAAAAAGGACAAAGCCACAAAGGATGTGTGAGCTGTGCCTACCATGGGTATATTCACCATGTGTGAGGTGTACAAATCGAAACATTTACCACAAAACAACTGGGAGAACTGGAAGCAATATGAAGGAATGAGGAAAAGAACAAGTTTCCACCAAACGGAACTTTGTGGTGGCACAGCACCTGGAGCAGGGAAAAGAAAACTAGAGAAATCATCCACGTCTCGAACATATGCAAATGCAGAATATGCATCGACCGACGACCTGATTAACTAGCTGTAAAAACAAATGATAGGGACTCTCGAGGTGTAGAGTGTGACATACCAAAATAATAAGGTTCCAAGAAAAAAAAAAAAGAAAGTCAAAATAGTCTTCTCCTTGATTGTATTCTTCTTCAGAAACATTGTCAAGTTGAAAAGACGATGAAATTGCCATCCAAACATCTGAATCTAGCTCCCCACAAATTAAAGCCTGTATCTCCTCTGCAGATAAAGTCAAACCCAATACCTGGGAAGTCATACCAGTAGTCAAAACATTGAATCACGAATTCATACTAAGATCTCTTATAACTTGGTAACAAGAAACAAATACAAAAAAAAATTGTTGAAACAATAGAATGCAAACACAGTAAAATAAAACTGTTGAAAAAAAAATTGGAATGGCAGAGAAGTACAATCATAAATGGGAGCCACATGTGAAAAAACACACGTCTAAACACTGCTGTGCCATTCAAGAAAGTGAATATTGAGTAGGAATATCAAAGTTGCACCATTATAAGTGGTGCAATACTATTCGAGGAGAGTAGTCACATGCTATGTACATCTTCAACAGTACAGCGAAATTGGTGGGATATATAAACTGGTGTGCTGAATGTGAACATTTTTTTAGCAATGCTTAGAAGTAAGTCTGTATCAGAAATACTTTTTTAAATCTTACAACTTTTATATTTCATTTACATAACCTATAGAACCCCCTAAAATCAATAAAGTTTTTTTTTGGTAAAACTATACTTTATCTTGTATTTTCTTTAGCCATACAATAACTATTGCTAAAGGTGAAAATATGAAATAAAATCAAAATTATTTTTTTTTCTAGAATGACTGCAGATTGCAACAAATAATTACAATAATTTATCCCAACAGCCTTTAACATTTTCACAAACACTTTCATTTAATTTTATTGCTCCCTGAAACATGTCTGACCACTAAACTAGTGTAACAAAGCAAAAATCACGTGCTGAGAGCATAGCCCAATTTATGGTAAACAACATACCAAATTACATAATGCACAATCAGCTCACATGCAATATCTGTACTATAAGTGTGTAATTTGTATTAAACTCAGAAGCTCAAATAGAAAGGGAAATAATATCTAAAATGGAGAAATAATGTGTCATATGATAAAGATAAGTGAAAATTGGTAATTTATATAAATATTTCACTTTGAAATTAAGAAATTAAAATGTATTTAATATAAAAACTTGATGTATTAACTATTTTTTGATATGAAGTTTATTGAGATATGTATATAATACAAGTTGTTTAGATTATGAATGTACCTCTGTAAAAAGTTGTAACATGAGCACAATGACCCCACATAGGGTTAAAAATTACACAAGTATAAACATTTTCATGTTGTTATTAGTGTATTCACAAGAAAACAATAATATGTTTACTTATTAATTTCTTGCTGTGTTCTTGTTGTTTAAGATTTAATGTATTATTTACTAAATAAAATAATAAATTTGACAAACCTCACTACTAATAGTTTTAGTACACACTATAATAATATCTATAATAATAATAATAATATCTATAATTATCACAGCTCTAAATGCAGCTAAATTCAAATTTGTTGTTTTTGCTTGATTTAGCACAATGGGCTATATGTGCTCTGTCCACCACAAGGACAAGAAACACAAGTTTTAGTGTTGTTAGCTTGCAAACTTATCCTCTGACCCACCAAGGGACTAAATTAATATCCCTTCTTGCACTGTGTCACTACTTATACATACAAAAACAAAGGAAGGAAATCTATCAATGTTCAAGCAATGTTTTTGTTTCAATCTAGTTGAATTATGAGCTAATCAACTGTTAACTTTTATGTGGTCACCATTCTAATATTTTGTTTGTGTTGAAAAGTAACCTGTCATTTTTATCATCAGATGTGAGTATATATAAAAGAAGAAAACAAAAAACAAACAAACTAGAGGAAAGAAACAATTAAATTTCCTACAAAAAACAAAGGAAATAGTTTCTAAACAAGTGCTTCCCATAAATGGTACTTACACCTTTTTATATGCAATTCTGCACCTACATAGTTTTCTATTTGAAAAAATAAAAAAAAAGACTTGTGTTGTTTACAAAATTTGTTCTCTTTTGTGCATCACTTTACCAATCAACTGGAATTTGCTTTCATGGAGTACACATAACTTTAAAATAATCTTTAATTCCAGAAAATATTCCTTCTAAATTTTACAATTCATTATATTAGTAAATGTTGGAGAGAAAAAACAAACAACACATTGGAAAAACATATACTGAAAGTTGAGTAACTATCATATGTTCTGAAGAGAATTCTAAAGGTATGGCTAAGTGTCCAGTATTATAAAAAAAAATACTACTACAGCCACCAAATACTTCACAATTTAGAATGTTACAAAAAAAGGTAAATGAAACTTACTTTAAATAGAGCTTATTAACCAATGTTTGCTCACTTCAGGGAAAATTAAATAGAATTACTTATTTTGATCCAGGTTACATCCAGGTAATGATTTAGGAATAAGTATTGCTTTTATAATCAAAAGTAAAGGGTACTATTTGAGTAAGGATGTAATTTGACCTTTGATCCCATATATCACTAACAATAGCGAATGTAGTTAGTTGTTGTACAAACTTCTCTCTTTAAAAAAAAAAACTACTTTGGGCACCAATTTTCTTTTATTATTTATATATAAAAGGGGAAAGTAAAATCTAGGTTTGAACTTTTTCACCTCAAGACAGAGTAGAGACTTAGTTATCTTAGAACAATGAACACTTTTGGAACCACACTGTTACCAGCTTTTAAGTTTACTGAACAGCATAATATACCATATAATAGAGCTAACTTTCCAGTACCTCATCTGAAAAAAAAGTAGTTCACAGTTTTTTTTACAGAATACAAACAAGAGAGTTGTGACAAAGATTTGGCTTCTGCTAGCAGATGTTTTTACAAAAAATATATTATGAGATTATTACACTCAAAATGGTAGTATAAAGCATTAAAATATGTACAATATTGTTGAAATAAACAAACAATATTCAATATCTAATATGTTTTTCTTGTACATTATTTTGTCATCTGAATTAACATAAACACGATTTAGGTGCTGTCCAAGATAAAAGTTATTTAAATGCTATTCAGTTTGGTTAGTTTAAATGTCTTCTGATTGCAACTAGTAGATTAGTAGGTTCTGAAATACTATATCAAAGATACAAAACTTACTGTATTTGGTACATGCGGGATTCCATAATACTGGTTTTGTACATCTGCCAAGATCTCTGTGGTTGACTTGTTGAGGGGATGTTCCCCATGGAATACTTGATCTAAAGCAGCATAAAATACTTGGAGTTGGGTTTCACTAGCAGAGTATAGCTGTTTAGAAGCATTCCATTTCTCTATCAGACTGTGGGGTATCGGTGCCCCTGTCTGATAATGTTTGGCAAACTGTAGAACTACCTGAAGAAGTATTATGTATATGTCTATTTGCACATTCATAAAACTAAAACTATATACAGTTTCATAAACATTGTTTACTCAGAACAAATTTTTATGAGCCCTATAATTACACAAAATCTTACTTTTCTTTCATACTTTAGAAACTCCTTAAATGTCATACTTTAGAAACAACTTCTACTCTTAAATTACCAACAGGTTACTGAAGATATTAAATAAGACAGATTTTTAACAGATAGTGTACTATTTTCACCATGAACAATACAGAAGAAAAGATTCAAATGTGTGTGTCAATATATATAACTATAGACTATTCAATCAGAATAACATCTTTGCTGCCCTAAAGTAATTTCTTACAGAAATGTGATATGGGTAGCCCTTCCTAGACACTATTAGAATCTGATCTAGTTTTTAAAAATCAAAGTTATAACTTTTCTTAATGTTAACTAACACGCTCTATTTTACCAATTAAATTTAAAATCCACATTAGATATTACTTTTTATTTGTAATAAAACACAACTGGAAAAAGATTGGTTTGGTTTGAATTTCACAAAAAGCTATATGAGGGCTATCTGTACTAGCCATCCCTATTTTAGCAGTGAAAGATGGCAGCTAGTCAATACCACCCACTGCCAACTCTTGGGCTACTCTTTTACCAACGAATACTGGGATTGATCATCACATTATAACGTCCCCATGCCTGAAAGGGTGAGCATGTTTAGTGGGATGGGGATTCAATTGTGAGTCAAGCAACCTTACCACCTGGCCATGCTGGGCTGCTGGAAAAAATAGCCTAAATATAAGCTTCTATTATTAAAATACTATCCCAGTATGCTGCCCTTTATTTTGGATGTTTATTTCTATACCACCTCTCTTTTCTTGTCAAAAATAAATGACTGGACCATTTTCTAACCTAACTCGTAGCATCTTTTCAATAGTTCCTTCAATTGTAAAGATAATGAACAAGTACATTAACACATACGACTTCTTGGTTAAACTGGTCTCATCTTGATTTAAAATGTGCTAATAATTCACAAAGTAATTTTCCTTACAATAAACAAGGTACTACTATCTACTAATGCAGAAAACTTGAAAAGTTTATACCACAGTTGTTACTAATACTAAGTCTGTTGAAGGTATCGTTAACTTTAATACAAATGTACTAAATTGCATGTTATTCCCAGTACTATAATATATGGCACAATAAATCTGAATCTGTTAAACCACACAGTCTGAGAATGTTTCAACTATCTTTTAATCAAGCATATTTCTTTTATGTGTAACTTAATAGGGTCAACTTTCTTTAGTCCAGTCCTCTAAAAGATTGCTACATATATTTATCATGATAACATTACCAGCCCATATATTTAACTGAAAATATTATAAACAAAGGGGAAAAAATTACTAAAAAAATAAGATACTTTAAAATCAAAATTTCATGAAATTTAATAAATGAATAGTGCAAAGAACCAAGTGAAATTAATACTATTTAAACAGGAAAATCATTTATTTCATTAAATTTTGCACAGACAATAACATGAATTTTAAAACTTAGATCTGCTTCAGTAATTAAATATTTCAAGCTATTACTTATTTAATGATACTATACTTACTTATTCATCCAATTGTTTAAGTTTCAATGTTAAGAAAATAACAAAGAAGTTAAATTTACCCTTGGATCAGAAGAAAAATGTTCCATCAAAATTGATGGAACTTCAGCAAGATCTGTAGCACAACGAGTTCCCGTAACATGTTGATATGGAGTGCGTGCAAGCATAGAATGCATTGCATGACCCATTTCATGAAATAGGTTATCCACCATTCCAGGAGTAAGGAGAGAAGGACTACTCCAAGTAGGTGATGGTAGGTTCAACATCAGTACTACAACAGGTAGCTACCACAAAAAAAATCACAAAAGAGCAAACTTTTTGCCATGAAACACTACAACAAAACTGAAAAAAAAAACAGATATTTTCACAGAATCTTCCATATAATATAAGTTTTAACCACCATATTTTTAAAATATCTTCATTACATATTAAGAACTTTAAAGTTGTAATTGTCACAAAACTTGTAAAAAGATTTGTGTATTGATAAAGAACAAGCCTCAGATATTAAGTCAAGCATTAAACTGAAATTTATTCTTTAAGAAAAAATAACTGATCTGAAAATAAACTAACTCACTTAACTACTACATATGTTTTAGAAAAAGCTTTATCATAGTAGTAGCTTTGTAACTAGCAAATACTGATGCCAACTGTTTTTATTCAAAATGTATGTTCTCCATAAAATTTATACTAGTGTATAAAGAGTTTGTCTTTTGTTACAAAAACATACAGAAGCATTGCCTCAACACTTCCAGCAAAACTTGGTACTTCTGTCTTGTTAGTTCAAAATTAGGATTATATATTATTTATAATTTTGATCTGAAAATGCTGCAAATAAGCTATAATAATGTTCAACTATGCTGCAATCTCCTTCTGTTACTAAAATAATTTCAAAATCTGAACAAAGAACATACTTTGTTTACTTTGTTAGTGTTCAGACTTTTCCAAAAACATAATTTGAGATGTGGTCATACATGTAACAAATACATGATTCAAAGTTAACAAATAAGTTTAGATTACTCAACTTATGAGGCTGTTTTGATCTTTAAATACCTAAATTTTAGTTACTTCTTAAATAATAAAAAAATATAAATAGGAACACATAATAAATTGTATACAATATTATGTCAAAATAAAAGGATGACTGGCAAAAATAGAGATCCAAAATTCATATCAGAGTTAGTATTCAAGTAGTATCTTGTCAAGATACATGGGACAAGTTTAATTTGTTGACACCAACAGAAAGGAGGCAACAGAAAGAAACATGATGAATGTTTACATTTTGTCTGGAGAGGGTGCTCAGCAGTCTGGATGTGATTAAATAGTGTTTAAGAAATCATAGTTAATTTATATTTATACAATTATTTGAAGAATAAGTAAAATTTATGTCATTAATTCATTTTCTCCTACTATTCAGAAGACAAGTTGATTAATGTGTTTTTTTGGTTTTTCCTTCATCACCAAAATTATGAATTTTAGTGACAAATAAATAAGAAGCCTAGTCTCTTTTTAGGCCTCTTAAGTTTTTTTTTACTAGAATTCACAATTTAAGTGATTAAAGAAAAATTATTTTGTTTAAAGTTATTTTTGTAAAACTAGCATTGTGAAATTGACCTATAAAAGGTGTACATTTTAGAATCAGACAGTTGTTAAAATTATGAAAGTGACCCAAAAATGACATATTTTAGAATTATACATCTGCATATTTTTGTAAAGATGAGACTCTTCAATACTACAACATTGTAAGAAATATAGTTCACATAGAGAGAGAAAAAAAATAAAGTTCAAATAATTTTATTATGCCATGAAAAATATATTTTAATTCATTCCCCACCTGTGTCAGGTGGGGCTGGTTATGTACATAATTGCTAAATGCAAGTATGAACAATTTATATATGTAAAAAAAAATATCAGTTTAAAAGTTTTCTCTAGTTGCTTCAAAAATATCTAGTTATTAAGTTCTTTGTATATCCACAAAAAAAAATCCACAACACGTCAATTACATTACAGTAGTCCATACAGACTTCAATTTCCTACTTCCAACCTTATCTTATTATTACCAGTGTTCTGTAAATGCTTTTTTAGAGCTATAGTTTCTGCATGATTTTGTGCAGTGATACTTGTCTGTGTTTATAAGGCGAGGTTACAAAAGATACTATAAAAAGGTAAAATATATAAGTGGTTCTAGAAAAATCAGTAGGATTAAATTAAATATTCAGAGTACTTTTAAAATTTTTTTATGAGAGTCAAATGTTACTAAGGGCCATGTAACAAACAAAGTCATGTACTCACAAGCAATATATTGCATACTGTAGATCATAAAAACATATTTGAAAAGCTAATGAGGTACATGGAACCCATCAGTAAATGTCAGTACTAAGGAAAGTTTGCAGAAGTAAAAAAATAACTGTATAATATAGCCTTGATGGGTTATTAAAATGGTGTTTTGCTTTCTGCTTTTTTATGCTTTGATTTCATTATCTACAATGTACTCGATCATTAGTAACTTCATTGGATGTCTTTTTTGGTTTAAATTATTTTAGATATGATAAAATCTAAAATGCTCACCATCATCACATAAAGAATCTTTAGTCTCCTAACATTTAAAGTAAAGAATATGGAAAGTGTTTTATTTCAGTTCATTTCTATATATATTATATATATATATATATAAAGTGAAATATAAGGTGAAATTATACTTGATAAGTTCCATTTTCTAACTGTCTTCCTCCTTGGATTGTAAAATGACAGTCCTGATGAGGCTTGCCTGGCCTTTCAAAGAAATCACAGTAGATATACCCTAGTATTGAGCCTTCTTCGTGAACACTCTAGAAAAGTTTAAACAGAATTTTGTTTTAATTTTTAATATCAAAGAATATTTAACTTCTCACTCTGATATAACCAATTTTTTTGTTTCAATGTCTAATAGTATACAATGCAAAATCTGGCAAAACAGGAAACAATTATAAACTAGAAAGTGTGATGAAACATCACCAACCTTTTTTCACTGTATGACACATAGTCATACACTAGAATGCTAAATATAAAATTTCTACCAAGATTTCTTGTTATAACAAGGTCAAGCTAGTGCACTCTATTCTTCAGCAAATACTACAAGGAAATACATACCTCTAAATTGTTATACATTTGTGCAGTACATCTATTTCAAGATAATTTCATTATAAAAACATATTACTTCACATCTCTTAAAGCATTTATTCTCACAATAATACATCAGCAGTTTCCATGGCAAGAGTCCTAAAAAGTACAACTAAAACTTAATATTTTGAAACACAAGTTTCATAGTTAAGTGGAATATTAAAGTAAATACAGAAACATTTTCTGTTAAAAGCTCTTCAGGTGTAAATTCATACAATAATGACCAGCTAAAAAAAGTATTTTTAAATAATAAAATTGTCCTCTTTTTTTCCCCCCCAAAAAATGAAAAAAAAGATTTGTGAAAGACAAGCAAAATAAAGCATTTAAAAAAGTGGAATTTTTCAAATGAAACTTAGAAAATGATGAGATTAAAAAATTATTTTTATGGCATTCCTGTAAGTAATTACTTGATAAATAAGACTTCTTAACACACAGACACACACTTATACATATATACACACACACACACACACACATATATATATATATATATATATATATATATATATATATATATATATATATATA